TCCACCCATAATAAAGTGAGGCATTCATCCTCTCAAGATGCCAGTTTCCCCATCTGTACAATGGGGAATGTTAGAGGAGATCGACTTTAGGGCATTCTTGAAAGATTTCAGGAGGCAGTGTATGCAAAGTGTTCAGGGTCACATATGCATAACCCATGGGCACAGAAAACAGTGTAGGGGAGGCCGAGGGTGGGGCTGAGGTTGGGTGGAGCGGGGCAAAAAGGGAGGGAAATGGGGTCATCTGTAAGACTGTCAATAGTTTTAAGAAATAGTGTGTCCTGGCATGTGAGAAACACCCATAGCTGTTCTCACATAGAATCCCAGCAAACAGAGTCTGCGAACCGTCCTGCAGTCCTAAGATCTGTGCTCAGTGGCCAGGTATCAGTCCTGCACACTGTGTGACCCCAGATGCAGCCTCCGCAAAATGCCCCATCCAGCATTCCCGGTTCTTTGGATGGAATGCTGAATGACTCCTTGGAGGAAATAAATCTCAGTAACAAAGAGTCAGGGCCTAGGAAATCATACTCAACACTGAATATACATTGATTAGATTTAAAAAAAAAAAATAGCGATGAAATCAGAATTACAAAGGGTTTAGAGATGTGTATTATCTGACAGCTGCTTAAAACTTTTAACAGGCAGATTAAGAACAACAGATATAAAGTGGGTCAGAATCTGGACTCCTTCAATTACCAGCTGCACAACGTTGGGAATGTTTCTTAGTCTCTTCAGACCTCAGTTTCCACATCTGTAAAATATAGAAGAAAACAAAAAAGTTCCTTCCTTATAAAGCTACGATGATATTTAAATGAAATAGCACATGTGGAGAGAGCAGAGTATTCCTTAGGTATTTGCTCTAGATATCTAACTGTAATGAGTATCTTCTATTCTTACCCATCTCCATCTATCACCTTTGCCTCAACCTGTCAGCACGTTTCAGAGTCCTGAGCATTGTCTTGGCTACGGTGCAACCCAAGGTTCTATCAAGAAACTCTTTCCTAACCTGGGTGCATTTCAGACTGATGGTGGCCTAGTTTGCTTTTCTGGCTATTAAGAATGACTTATGTACACAGAGCTTTGGGGAAGACATGAGTCCCCAGTGGCAGGGCAAATAAGAGAGATGACAGCATACTTATCAGCCTGGGCTATGGCTTATACCAGCATTGGAATGATCAGACAGTATCAGTTACTTAAGGATCTATTCCAAGGCTGGATGAAGTGCTCTACAATCTTGCTGCTGAAACTGCAGTCCTCACACCAGCAGCATTGGCATCACCTGTGAACTTGTTAGAACTACAGAATCACTGGTCTTTTAATCCTCACCCAAGGATATTTTTTCCCATTTATCTTCAGATACAGTGAGAGGGAAGAAGAGAGGGAAATATAGAGAAACAGAGAAAAACATAAATGTGAGAGAGACACATCGACTGGTTGCCTCCCACATGACCCCAACCAGGGCTGGGGATGAACCACAACCAAGGTACATGCCCTTGACCGGAATCGAACCTGTGACTCTTTTGTCCATAGGCCAATGCTCTAACCACTGAGCAAAACTGGGCAGGGCCAAAATCACTGGTCTTATCTTAGAATCAGTGAATAATAACAAAATCCCAGGTCAAGTGTGTACACATTAAATACGTGAAATATAGCCCTTCATAAATATCAAGAGGAGTCCATACCCAGGTTTGTGAAAATTTCCAGAAACAACCTTCTGTCTGCCACCCACCCAGCTGGGTTGATGCCTAGATAAGGCTCTAAAACAGCCTTGAATCAAGGCCCTCTAAACTGTATCCATCTCTCCACAATCCTGCACCACTTATTTAGCCTTTACATACATGCCTTCTTTGAGTCATTTTCTGGTTTGGAGTTTCCACCTGGTTTGTGGCCCTTGCTGGGCAATATCGCCTGATATTTGGCTTCATGGGAGCCCTGAGACTGTTTCCTATTCTGTCGGCAGAGGCCAGCCCCGCTTCTCTGGCTGATTAATGCCCCTCCCTCTGACAGTCTACTCCAGCAGCCTGCCATCTTTGGGGAGTTAAGAAATTTTGGAACCTGCATTCAAAGAGAAACAAACAGAAGTCTGGCCTCGGGTGATATGTGCTAAAGGCTGCCACTGAATACAAATCCCCACAGCAATGTTAGAGAAGAGTTTGACTAACTATCATTCAGCTTTACTTTGTCATCAGTGCAGAATGAAATCCTCGAATTCACTGGGTTTCAGAGAGCTGGGGGAAATGGAGGGAGGCCAGTGAGTGAAAACCTGGGGTGCAAGAGGCAGCTATTATGTCTACACACACACACACACACACACATGCACACACACATATTGAGCATTTATTATACTGGACATTGTAGATCCAAAGGTTATGTCTTCCCCCCTCATCCCTGGTCCTTGTAGAGTTTACACCTTAAAGGGAAACGGATATGAATCAAATAACCACAAAAATGCATGTTGTATTAAAACAGTGATGAATGTTCATGAACGAGAGGGATAAGTGGTAGGAGAACATAAACAAAGAAGATGGATCTATTCAGGAAGATTTCTCTGAAGAACAATAAAACTAAGGGATGGGTAGGGTTAACCAGACCCAGGTGCGAGGGGCAGGGAAGGGGGTGAGAAGGGCTGGGTGGCCCAGCTGCTGCCACCGTCCCATGACCAGGGGAATGAATGCCCTTTGAGGAACTGACCCAAGCTGGAGTGGAGTGGAGCCGGGGGGTGGGGGGAGGGGGCTGACAAGCTGAGTGATGGCGAGTGACCGGTCTTCATTCTGAGAGCACTGAGAAGCGGTGAAGAGTTGTTCACAGGGGCACAGGGACATAGCTGTGCTCCTACAAGAGTGGTCTTTCCGCCACTGTGGAGGACAGATTGGAAGGGGGCAAGAGGGTGTGAGGAGCAGAGCAGTTAGGACCGCATTGTGTTCTCCGAAGTAGAGAATGTGGGGAGGGGGGCAATGAAGGGAAGGGGGATGTTCCAAGAGATAGTTCAGTGGTAAAACTGAAAGTAGCCCAGCAGAAAGGATCCAGGGAAGGGGGCTCATGTTAAGGATGACAAATACTTCCGGGATGCTGGTGTCTTGACCGAAGCAGGGAGGACAGGGCAAATACCAGATTGGGAGGTGGGGGTGATCATGAGGTGCATTTTGAGCTAGAAGCCTTCCCTGATCTCCCAGAAAAAAAAGATACAGAGGTCTGGAGTTTGGGTTAGAGTGGCAGGCTGGAGGAAGGTATTTTATAATGATGATTTTAAAAGTAAAAATTGCAAACGTTATCACTGATTGAGTATACACTCCATGCCAAAGCTACATATCTATTATCTCATTTAATCCACAAAAGGACTCTGAGAAGTCTGACCCTCCCCATGTTACAGATGAGGAAGAGGAGGCCCCAGTGAGCTGGTCCAAGCTCTGAACCACTGTGTCACACTGCCCCCTGCTGAGCACCTACTAAGTGCCAGGCTCTAGGAAAAAATGATGTTTAAGGCATTCCAAGGAGCTTGCAAGGTAAGTTCATGGGCTGCGTGTCTCCCTTAGCAAAGTGGAGGAGGAGAAGCCATGAGGTAGGGATTTCTGCTGTTTGTCAATTACACTGCAACTGGTCTCTAAGCCGCAGCTGTCTGACATCACATACAAAAGTGCGTGGCATCCCTACCTGTGCAGAACGTCCTCGTTTTCCTTCTAAACTTTTTCAATGAGGACACTTCTCTCTCTCTCTCTCTCTCTCTCTCTCTCTCTCTCTCTCTCTCTTGCTCCTTGGTTTTAGGTTGCCCACAGGCATGTAGGTTAAATAAAGAGTTTCACTGTATAGCCACTAGGTACCACACTCCGTCAGCCTTCAATTGCAGGATCTCAGACACCCCGGAGGGGAAGGAGCCCGGCGTGGCTGCCCTTCTGTAGGATAGACTAAAGCTCTTGTTTGCTATAAGCATCGTCCTCTATTACCTGTCTGGGCATTGTTCCGACGACTAGAAAAGTGACACCTCCGAAACTGACTGTGAAGTGGAGATGGACTAACCACAGCAGCTTAAGACAAAAAGAATATTTATACAAAATGATCCCTTCGAGCAGGGTCTGCTTCTGCCCAGACACTGAGCATAATCATGGAAGAATTTCACTGCTCCCGTTACGCAAAAGGGCTTGAGATTTGAAACTAGAAAAATTTTCCGTGGTTTACGCGGAACGGAACATACAGATCAGAGCTGAAGACATAAATCATACCCTTGTTTCTTATTATTTTAGTAAAATAGCACTAGTTGAAGCTTACCAAATTGTGCCTCCATGTGCGTGCCGAAAAATAAATACAGTTTCGAGGATCCACTTCGGATTGAACTAAAATTCAGTTGTATCCGTCGTGGAGTGTGTTTCTGCTGTTTGAAGTAACGTTACTCCCTTAATTTGGAAAGCTTTTAAGATCGGTGTGAGTGGTGATGGTAGCCAAGGTTATCACAGTGAGAAGTCAGCGATCAAACCTGTTGCTGCTTCGTCCTGTAGATACTATAGCATTTGTCTTTGTACGCGGTCATGCTTTTCACATATTATGATTTAAAAATTTTTTTTTTCCTTTATTGATTTTAGAGAGAGACGAAGTGAGAGGGAGAGAGAGATAGAAACATCAATGAGAGAGAATATCAACTGGCCGCCCCCTGCCTGCCCCCCACTGGGGATCGGGCCCACAACCTGGGCATGTGCTCTGACTGGGAATCGAACTGGTGACCTCTTGGTGCATGGGTCGACGCTCAACCACTGAGCCACACCGGCCAGACTATTATGATATTTCTTTTTCTTTTTCTTTTTTTGCACTGACAACATCGTTTTTAATTGAAGGGAGGACAACAGCTGGTCACATTCAGAGACAGATAGGCCTCAGCAGGTGGCCGAAACCATCCTTTCTAGGTTAACCATCAGTTCATTTCAGGTGTTCCCGTCGGTTCTGCAGACCCACCAGACCGTCCTGAGGGCTCCACCACGTGCCTGCGCAGCACAGGCTTGACCACACACTGAGCTTCACTGGATGTCGTCGTCATCAAAGAGATCTTCGAAATCATTGAAGACGTCGGCGTGAACCGCCTTTTCTTTGGCCGCCAAGTCCATCAGGAGCCCGGTGCTGCTGCCGGCCTCATCCAGGTCCACGTAGGGCCCGGCACCCTCGGGGAACATCTCGTCCACCGCCGGCTTCATCTCCCCCGCGGTGCTCTCTATTATGATATTTCTTAAACTTGTATCTCACAACATAAAAGAAATGGCATTTGTATTATTCGCTGCTGGACAATTCTGCGCAGTGCCACATAGGAGCCGAGAACCAATGCTTACGCTGTGTTGGAGCAGATAACCAGTGTTATCCTCAAGGTCTCTGAGGTTACTGGCCCTCAGCAAATGACTGAGGATACATAAACCCAGCCCCAAAGATTTACTTTTACTCAAATAGTAAAATATACTCATGATGAATCATCTGACTGTTAGGGGTTAATAGAAAATTGTCCTGTTGGAAGAAGCGTGAGGAGACATCTCAAACCAGAGTTCAGTATAATTCATGCAACAACAACAACAAAATCATACAGTTGTCCGCACATAGGTGTGCATACAATGATGGCCATTCTTTCTAGCCCAGACTAAAATCCATTCTCAAAGCTTCTATATTTCTACCCGAGGCAGTTCCTTCACCTGTGTCCTGGACGTCATTCGTTTCTGTTATTTTCAGTAACTCCCCCTTCTCTGTACTGTGAGTCCTTCTGCAATATCATCTGCTCGACGCTCTCCATTCTCAAGGAAAAAAAGTGTATTTTTTCATTTTAGTCTTCCCTTAACTCTTTTGCTGTGTGTCTTCTTTTAATAGCAACATTATCTACACAACTATATCCGTTTTCTAAAACTGTGCTGACTTCTCTGAACAGGCCAAATTTGCCTTGCATTGCTGTCTCTCCAGGAAATAGTCTCCTCTCAATACCAGGAGAGGCCACCATGTCACCAAACAAAATGAATGCTTTTCTTTGAAAAAAAATTATTTTTTCCTTTATTGATTTTAGAGAGGGAGGAAGGGAGAGGGAGAGAGAGATAGAAACATCGATGAGAGAGAACATCTATTGGCTGCCTCCTGCATGCCCCCCACTGGGGATCAGGCCTACAACCTGGTATTGTGCCCTGCCCAGGAATCGAATTGGCGACCTCCTGGTGCATGGGTCAACGCCCAACCACTGAGCCACACTGACAGGACCAAAATGGACAGTTTTCAATCTATGTTTTATTCATTCATTCATTCATTCATTCATTCATTCATTCATTCATTCATTCATGTATTTATTGAATGCTTGCTATGTTCCCAAGTTCTGTTCTAAATCCTGGGGATATAGCAGTGAACTGAACTAACAGGAGCCTCTGCTCTTTGGGAGTTTTCCATTCTAGTGGAAAGTCACAGCTAATAAATCTAAAAAGTAAAGTTATTTGTTCTGTCTCATTGAGGGATCACTCAACAGAGTTCAGCTAACTCGATGACTCCCTGCTTGGGACAGTCTTGGCATCTATAATCCAATGCACCTGCTCTTCTTTGTCCCTCTCTGAGTGACTTTTTCCCAGTGTCCTTTATCATCTTTTTCCCCCTTTTTTCTTGGTTACTCAGTATTGGAGTCCCTGAGGATTTTGCTTTAATTTGTTCTTTTTTGTATTCTTTTTTTCTTTTTTGATTCTTTGGCCCTTATCTGTGAGTATTCTATTTTATTCTTAGGTAATTAAAAATATATATTTCCCATTGTTTTAGCCACCACCAGATGCCAGTGAAGCTAAAACTGATGAATCAAACCCAGAGACAGGTTTATTGTAAACTTATGAGAGCTTCCTGTAATTATGACAGAACCCTCTTGTCATGGACCTCTCTGAGATTCTAGGACTTCTAGAATGTTCCAGTATGGAGGAAAATACAAGTTATAACCAAGGAGCATTTTGATGCAAGAATCTCTGGTAAGATCTTAAAGAAATCTCAAGAAAAGACTGGATCGTCAAGAGCCCAGTAATACGTTGTGACTTGTTTTCCGACATGATTATTATCTTTTTATAGTTAACTCTGCACTTGTATTTCTGTTTATTTTTTCTAAATAAGGTCCTTCAAATTGCACAATCTTTCTGTCTATAAATGGCCTTTCTATGAGGTCAAAGTCTTAAGTTTCTACTGATTTCATCAGTAGTCTCTAACTCATATTTCAGAAGTTCTTCCTTTCTGCCTGGATTATTATAATATCTGTCTAACTGATCTTTTCCATCAGAGTGAAGTGTCCAGCCATCCCCTCTACCCTCTGTCAGCCAAGTACACGCTTCGCAGTGCAGCCGATGTGCACTTCTACAAACACAACTCCTTTGTGCCACTCACATCTCAGAAGCCTTCCGCCGCTTTCCATTGTTCTCAGAATCTAAGGCTCATATTAACCCCAGTGTTTCCAACACTGCATAGGCACGCTGGAGAACCCCTACTTCCCTTCCCATTTCCCACTCTGTCAACCACTAGGCTTTTCCTCATGTTCCCCCAAATACAGCACTCACTTCTCCACCAGGCTTGTACCCCATGCTCTTTCCACTGGTTGGGCATTTCTTCCCAAGATTTGTGCCTGGCTAACTCTTCAGATCTTGACTTAAACATCTTTTCTGTAGAGAATTCTCCTATCCCTGGAGCCAGGGATAGCATGTGCTTCACTAGAAATAGATGGGATGAGGGAGAGGGGAGTTACTTCTAAGGCAGGGTCAGGCTGCCACTGCGACAGGACGATGGACGCAGCCAAGGGGGGAGTTACTCGTGCAGCTGCTGGTATTACTGGCACTAATACTTTAGACAAGACATTAAGAAATAAATACCCATATTGTCTGCTTAGCATTTCTTCCGAAGGGGTATCTAAGAGAAAAACAGTAAACATTGAAGGAATGTAAACCAATAGGCAGCCTATTTATCCATCATTTTAAACAGTCTAAACTCTATTTTTTATTTTATAAGATGTCATCGGGTGATTGTTAACTTAGTCTAGGAGAGCCCAGTCTCTTAGAATACATTTCATACCAAAACTTGCTTCAAGATTTTAGCCTTGATATGCATCAAAGCTGTTTTATCACATAACCGATTAAATAAACACTCCTGTCTTGATTTTAATGCAGCTAGAAGGGCACTTTACATGGTGTCTATCAATGCCCCCCCCCTCTTGGAAGTATTCATGTAACGTACTTCTGTTTAAATGTAGCGAAATAAATAGAGGAAAATGGAACTTATTATTTTCCCCCAGGAGTCCATCTATCCTCTCCTTTTTGATAGACTCTTCTTTTTTTTTTTTTTATCCTCACCCGAGGACATTTTTCCATTTTTTGTACAGATAGAATGGGAGGGAGAGAGAGGAAGGGAGAGAGAGTGAGAAACATCGATGTCAAGGGACACATCGAGTGGCTGCCACCCGCACGACCAACCAGGGCCGGGGACAAACTGCAACCGAAGTACGTGCCCTTAGCGGGAACCAAACCCGGGTCTCTCCGGACCACAGGCCGACGCTCTAACCGCTGAGCCAAACTGGCCAGGGCGGACTCTTCTTTTAATCCTGACCATCAGGAAGCTCAAATACATTAATCATAGCAACTACATTACTCTTAAGTTTAGCATAATTAATTAATTCTCCAAAGATTCTGAATCCTTTATGAGTGCATCTTTAATGCTCTTTCTTATATGTCTTGTTTTAGCCACCTCAAGTCCATTGTGAAATGTATTGTGCATAAACAAATAGGCCTTTTCTAATGCTTAGCAACAGTCTAGAACAAAATAGTCACAAACCTTTGTCAAATCTAGACCAGAAGCCATTTCCTAAGGGACGCAACTCAGTCTCTGAAATGTGTTTTATGGTCTTTCAGCCCCGACTTTGGAAAAGTCATCAGGTTGCTAACTGCTTTAGGGATCATAATACCAAGTTTGTTCCTAAAGGAAAGAAAAGGCTCGAAGAAGGAGAAACTCTTGCACAGAACACGGTGTAAGAAAAGGTCCCTGAGAAGCTTTGCTGGCATGAGTCCCAAGCTCATGTTACCAGGAATATTTACATTAAAAATATATCTCCAGCTTGACCAACAGATCTGAGGTCAAGCTCAAAATCCTGCCTGGGAGTTCTTCAGTTTTATTACCAGTTGTCAGTTCCAGCTTCGGCTATAATTTCTCTGCCTTCTGAGGCATAAAGGCAAACAGCAGAGTGAGGGCTGGGAATAGCAGTTCTGATAGTGTAAGGTGGGAACCAGGGGCTTCTGAGATGTTTCAGCAGAAAAATGTCTGGTCAAAGTCCTGGTAACCAATAATAATCCTCTTACACACCAGCCTTCTTATACGAAGGAAGTGCCCCCTCGGAGTTAAGTGGGATTGTATCTTGCTTTATCATCTGAGACCTACTCCTGGAGATACACTTACTTGTTCCCCTTTCCCCACCCACCTGGAGCCCTCAGAAAGGCCTTGCAGGCTGGAAAAGTGAAGAAGAGACAGATTTATGGAGTTTCCATTGAAATTATAGCCATAATTATATTGTGGTTTAAACTGGTTTGTTACTCAACCTTAAATATTGTATCCTAAGCATGACTAAACACCTGTCAGGAAAGCATGTAAAATATAATTTTATTATCGATATTAAGTTGTTTTAGAACAATTTATAGATTTATGTTTAAAGAAAAAATAAGTGAATAAACAATTCAAATTTTAGTCTCTCTCAATAGCAACACCAGTCAAAGTAATTCTATGAGACACCACATAGCACAGACAAAAGATCGTGGTCACACAGAATTGGGATTTAGAGATGTCGCTACTATGCAACATCGTACAAAAGAAACTCCAACTCTTGCTCACATTCATAGTCCTTGTTCTGAACACTTTGTATTTTGCTCAGTGCAACTCTCAGGCTTCTTAGTGGGTTGATTTTCTGCCCATGTTGGTCACATTTTGTAGTTTGGACTAGACATTAGACACTAATCACATTTTTATCTTTCAGTGTTGCATTCAGATCTATTTTCCAGTTCACAGATGCTCCCTTTAGCTGTGTCTATTCTAATATTTAATTAGTTCATTAAGACTCTTTAAAATTTTTATTTTCTTTATTCTTTTCTTGAAGTATTATTTGGTCCTTTTACAAATATATATATATATTTATACCATGTTTTCTATTACATCATTTAACTTTAATCACATTTAA